AATTGTTGTTATCATTATTATTAACGATAATTATTGTTATCATTATTATCAACCTGTTTATATCATTATTATATCATCAATCAAATTAGCTAGTATCATTTATCAGACAGAATATGCTGCTATTAGTTCATTTTGTGAATGTTTGATTGATTTTTTGAAGTTGTAAAAATTGAAAAAGTCATCTTTTATTGATTATCATATCAACAAGTTAATATCAACGGGAAAAAAAAAACCGGACGAAGACGAAAAGAGAAATAAAAAAAAAAAAAAAACCGGAAGAAGAAAGAAAAGAGAAATGATGCAAATAATAGCGTTTTTTTTTTCCAATCATTAATCATATATTTAAATATTTTTGCAACATTATTATCATGTAATTTAAAATGCATTTAAAAATAACCTGAAATTTATATAATAATAGAATTTCATTCAATTATTTTTACTTAAAATTTAAAAAAAAAAAAAAGTTAAGAATATCAACCATAAATACCTAATTATAATCAGATGAAATATTGAAAATTTAGTTATATTTCCAAAGATATATAATTAAATTTTAGTTTAAAAAAAAAGAAACAAATTAATTGAATTGATATTGAAGTATCCATAAATGTAAATTCTTAATTAAAGTCAAACCGGTTAAATAGGAATGTTTTTTTTTTTCTCTCTGCTTTTCCTTCTCTTTTCATGCTATTAAACTTTGAAAAATAAAAATGAAAAAGAGAGGAACAAACAAAACAAGCAAATTAAATTCAAAACCGGTATTAATTATCAGGAAAAAAAAAACTAAATAATCATACCTTACCATTTTTAATCATCTGTCAAATTTTTGCAATTAAAATTTTCGCTTTTTTTTCAAATCAATCAGTTAGTTTTTATTTATCTATTTATTTTATTATTTTGCGTCCTATTTCATCTCTCACAAATTTAATTCATATAATCCATTATCATCATAAAATTGTCATAATTTAAAATTTTTTAATTGAAATCAAAAAATGATATAAATCAGTAATCGTAAAATATATTGGAAATTGTTTGATAATTACCAGTAGATAAATTATAATATATGGTATTAGGTAAAACTCAATTAATTTGAATTAATAACTCGAATTTTTTTTTTTTTATAGTGAATAATTTTTTTTTGCATTTTATTTGATTTTAATTATAAATTAAATTTGGCAATGTTTTTTTTTTCCACTTTTTTTTTTTTTTTTAAATTTAATTAACAATTGAGAGATTAATAATTTCTTTGAATATATTAGTAATTTAAATGGAATTAGATGCTTGAATTATGCATATTTTTAAATTACTATTTATTAATTTCATTATTTCTTATCTAAATTCTTTCCACTTATTTGTCAATTTTTTTTTTTTGTTGTTGTTGTTGTCTTTCTTTTTTATTTCTAATTAAAATTTTTTTTTTATCATTTTTATAGCAAATATTGAATACATTCTTCTTCCTTTTAACTGAATGGAAAATTGTTTACTTTTCTCTTACTCAAAAAAAAAAAAAAAAAAAAACTTCATATGACTGAAATTAATTTATTTTTAACATACTTATATTTCTCTTATCAGTAATTTATTTTGCATCATTTCAAGATAAACATTAAAAAATGTGAAATTATATAAACAATCAAATTAACATTTCATTTATGGAGCAAAAAAAAAAAAAAGAGAGAGAGAGAGAAAATGAAGCAAAAAAGAAAATAGAAAATGGAACATTGGAAAATTAAATTGAAATTAAATTATCAAATTTTTTGATGGATTGATAATTATAAATTTTTTTTCCCATCAATTATCGCTTAGAAATATTCAATAAATTAAGCGATATGAAGAAAAAATTATTAAAATTTAACTCAGTTTTTTTTTTTTTTTTTCTTTTGAAATAATCATAAAAGTTTTTTTTTTTTTTTTTAGTTTCTGAAATAAACGCAACTAATCCTATTATTAAATAATATTTTTTGAAAAATATTTATAATATTAAACATTTTTATTTTTTTTTCCTTTTTTTTTTTTTTTTTGGATTTGTTCTATTTTAGTTTTCAATTTTTTTAGAGGGAAGAAAAAGAACGAAAAAAAAAAATTAAAATTATTAAAATAAAATTATGCTTCTGCTTTTTTTCTTTTTTGAAAATTTTTTTGTTTATTTATACATTTTTTAATTATTGCAATAAAACATAAAATAATAGTTATTAATATATTTATGTGTTAAATAATATTGAAATTATTTTGCATTATTTTATCTAAATTATTGATTATTATTATTTAAATTGATGAAAGGAAACAATCATTTACGTGTATCAACTACGTGTAATACGTGATCCTAATTTTACTCACCCCTAAAACTAACATCAATTACTAGCAGAATGTAAACAAATAATTAGAGAAATTGTTAGCAAGTACTATCGATTTTTCATTATCAATTTCTCATATATGAAAGAAAAAAATTTCTTCATCCAATAAGAAATATTATTTATTGTATGCGTAAAAGATGCATGAGTAAAAATTTATTGTATGAGTAAAAATAATTTAGTTATTAAAATATCAATCGACAATTTTGTTAGCAATTTTAAGATATGAATGATTAATTTTAATTAAATTATTAATGAAATAATCATTTTATCATTTTTTTTGATTAATTCAATTTTATTTCTCAATTTATCACTGTTGTAGCAGAAATTGAAATGATGATAGTTGTAAATAAATGAAATGAGGCGAAGAATTGATAATTTCGAAAAATGAATCATCAATATACTATCATTTCTTTTCTCTCTTTCCCTCTCTCTCTCCCTCCCATTTATAAAACATAGTGAATCATCAATAAAAAGTAGAATAATAATAATAATAATAATAATAATAATAATAATAATAATAATAATAATAACAATAATAATTATTATTATTATTTGTAATTAACAATTATTTTAATTAATTAATTTATTTTCATATGGTTTAAAATTTGATCTAATATGTTATCACACATTTTTTTTTTTCCAATTTTGTGTTTTTTCTTTTTTTAAAACAAAAAACAGAGTTTTGTGATTACTTAGAAGTTAGAATTTTGAGTGGAAATATCGTAGGTTAAATTAAGTTAGACTTTCATTCAATAATAAAATGTTTATATAGTTATGATAATAAACGTTATACGTCAAAATATTACTTTCAATAAACGTATTACGTGGAAATATTACTGATCCATCATTTGTTGAAAATACTTGTAATATATAAATATTATGTATGATAATAGTTATATCAACCATAAATCTTGCTCTGATCATCATTTTTATCACTATTGTCATTGTCACCATTATCATTATAATTTTCGCTCTTATCACTGCTACTCTTATCACTACATCATTATTACTGTCATCATAATTTTTTTCAATTTTTTGTAGCAAATATTATGTATAATAATAGTTCTATAACATTAAATCTGGCTCTAATCATCATTTTTATCACTATTATCATCGTTATCATCATCATCATATCAGTACCATAACATTTATCGCTTTTATTATGCCTTTTTTTCTCTAAATAAATTGTTAGTTTCGATTACACAAAATATTTGTTTACACTTTTTGCTTTCATAGATCATAAAAAAAACGAAGAAATTCTTTTTCCTTGATTGCATCACCAATGCAAATAATATTTGTTTATCAAATATATATATATTTTTTTTAATTTGTTTATTTTGAATTGTTAGTTATTGACTTATTTGATGAATTCATATTAATCTAAAATATGATTTAGTACAAAAAAATATAATATTATAGGTTTAAAAAGAGAAAAATACTATTAAAATGTCTTCTCTCTTCTTATTTTTTTTTTTTAAAACTCTTTGATAAAAAATATCAAACGTTCAAAATATTTTTATTTTTCTCTTTTTCGTTCTGTCATCTTATCATTCCTTTTTACTTTGAATAAATTTAAAATTTTAATTTAAAAATTTTTTCTTCTAAAAATTGAATTTATACTGTCAGATATTTAAAAATGTTTAAGAAAGAATTTAAATTATTTTGAATAAAAGAAAAAAAAAAAGCAAATAAGAAATTTTTTTTTTAATTTTTTAAATACTTGATCTTTTGATAAATCGTTGTTGGTGTCTTTTTTTTCTTTTTCTTCTTCTACAAAATTATTTCAGAGTTATGATAAAGTAATGAAAAAATTAAAATTATTTTAGAGTTATGATAAAGTAATGAAAAAATTAAAATTATTTTAGAGTTATGATAAAGTAATGAAAAATTTACGGACATATGTTAAAAAAAAAGGAAAAGTTAGTATAAAATAAAGTTATGGATTTAAATAATTTAAATATAATTTAATTTAAATATGTGAAAAAACATTTGAACACAAAAGTTTTTTTTTTGAATCTTAAATTATCAAAAAAATTTAACAAAAAAGAAAGCTCATAATATTGCTTAATGACATTTTACTTATCATAAATGTATAAAAAATTCAGTATGTGAAATAATTTTCCGGAATGAATTACTGAATTACTGATTTTTTTCTTGATAACATTCAGCTAATTCAAATCAGTACATTCCAGTTTTGTGTGATTTATTGCTGAAAAAATTTATCTGTATAATTTTTTTTTTTTTAAAAAAAAAAAGCAAGCGGATATTATATGAAAAATTTTTTTGAACTTAAATTAATCTTTTCTAAGGTTAATTTAAATTTATAAAATTACAAATAGTTTTTCAAAAATTTACAAATAATTACTGAAAAAAGTTTTTTCTTTCTTTTCTGGGAAATTTTGAAGTCGCAAATGTGAAATAATTTAACATTTCTTTTCTTTCTCTTTTTATTTTTTTATTTTTTGATGATTGTAAGGATGAAAAAAAAAAAGGAAAAATTAGATGAAAATTAATTTTAATTGCGTCAAAATGAATAAGAAATTAAAATTTGAATTGAAATATTAATTTTAATATGAATTATGCATTTCAGTTGAAGAAATAAATTTGTGATTGTTAAAACGAAATATTTTATTACTATTTGCATAAAAACAAATGGGTGAAGAAGATGGTGAAAAGAAGTTTGTAATGCTTTTCATTTGTTTCTTTTACACTTCTTTTTTTTTTTTTAATGAAAATTTTAATTTTAAAATTAGAAAATTCATTTAGCTAATTTCTATTATGCTGCTTAATTAAATAAAAATAAAATGAGACAGAAGTAAATAAATAAATGAAATTAAATAAAATGATGCGAATTAGAATTAAATGCAAAAAATTTGTTATCATAGACACTTTTATATGTTTCCTCATTATATATTATTTAATTTAATTAGATGTAAATGAATAAATAAATATTATTTAATTAAAATTTATAATTAATAATTGTGCAAAAAGAAGGAAATCTTTAGAATGATAAAATGAAAATTAAAATTTAGCACATTTTTCAGCTTATATTTATTGGCATAGTAATGCATATAATTCGACATTAATTTGTAATTTATACATATTAAAATTTGAAATCGATTAATTGTAATTAAAAATTTGAATAATTTTATATTATATATTAAAAGTTATTAAATATTATATTTATATATCAAATATTATTAATATTATATATTAAAAATTCGAATTTATTCAATATTAATTTTTCCTTGAAAAAAAAATTAATTAATTTTTATTTTATATATTTTCCAATTAATTGTAATTAAAATCGATTAATTACAATTAAAAATTTGAATTTGTTATTATTACAAATGGAAATTATACTAAGTAACGAAGAATTATTCTCTTTTTTTTTGAAATATATTGCTAAAAAGAAAAAACTTTATAAGTACATTCATAATAATTGCTTTATCTTTTTAATTTCGTAACTGTTTTAATTAATTTAAAATTTTTAATTTTCCTATATATTCGAATTTAAACAAAAAATAGGAATAAAAATTTGGTATATAATAATAATTCCATTTTATTTATGTATAATTTATCTTTTATCTGGATAAAACGAAAATTTATAATATAAAAATTATTAATTAAACCTTTTATGATGTGAAATTTATTTGGAAAACTTAAATTTTTACAATGAAAATTTTCTATTCATTTTTAATTAATTAATTTGCTCATTTATTCACTTACTTACTTTCTTTTTATTAATTTATCAATTTATTCATTTATTTTTGTTTTGCTGTTTTATTTTCAGAAACTTCCATATCGAAGTAAATTAACAGAACGTATTGCACCTGGTCAAACATTAATTGTAAAAGGAAAAACATTGGATGATGCAAAAAAGTTTGTCATATATTAATAATAATAATAAATAATAATAATAATAATAATGGTAATAATAATAATAATAATAATAATAATAATAATAATAATAATGATAATAATGGTAATAACTGTAATAATGGTGGTAATAACAATAATAATATTAATATTAATAATAACAATAATAATAAATATTGATATTAATAATAATAATAGTTCAATTAAAGTTATAATTAAATTAGTTATAACTTTTAAAAAAAAAAATCTAATGTAAATTATTTGTAAATATTTGTAAAAATATAAAAAATTATTTGAACAAAAATAAATTATTATAGATTTGATATTGGCTTACATCGTGATAGTCCAGATTATAGTGGCGGTGATATTCCATTAAATATTAGCATACGTTTTGATAAAGGAAAGGTTTGATATTTATAATTACTCTTGAAATATTAATTTTTATCAAAAAAAAAAAAAAAAATTATTAATAATAATTAAAATTTAAAAATTTTGCTAATTTTTTTTTATTGAATATTTTAAATAATATATAAAAAATTTTGCAACTATGTTTTATCTAAAAATAAAAAATGAAAGAAAAATGATGAAAATATTATTTTCATATATAACTTATAATAATTGCGACCTCTTTTTTTTTTTACTTTTCATTTATTTCAGTTAAATATTACAAATGTTCACAAAAATAATTAATTAAATAAGTAAGCATAATTAATGAATTCATTTTCAGATAGCATTTAACACATTTTCAAATAATAAATGGGGAAAAAAGGAAAAGCAAAAGTTACCATTTAAAAAAGGAAATGCATTCGATCTACGAATTCGAGCACACGATCATAAATTTGTGATTTATTGCGATGGAGTAAGTTTTATAGTTTGAATTTTATGTGATACAATAAGATAACGTTAATGATAATGACTTTATGATTAATTGCAGTAATAACAATAATAATAATAATAATAATAATAATAATAATAATGGTAATAATAATAATAATAATAATAATAATAATAATAATAATAATAATAATGCTAATAACAATAATAATAGTAATAGTAATAATAATAATAATGGTAATAACTGTAGTAATGGTGGCAATAATAATAATAATAATAGTAATGGTAATGATAATAATAGTAATACTAATAATAATATTAACAATAATAATAATAATAACAGTAATAATAATAATAATAATAATAATAATAATAATAATAATAATAATAAACTTATTATTTATTATCCAGAACGACAATGAATATAACAAACTTTATATATTCCCGAAAATGATTTGAAAAAAATTTTAACAGTAATAATAAAAAAAATTTTTTTAAAGAAAAATTTTTTTCCCTTAAAAAAAAAATTCACCTTTATCGTTTTTTTAAAGAAAATTTTTTCTTAAAAAAAAAAAAAAAACTTCCTTTTTTTCATGAAAAAAAGTGCAAAAGAAGGAAATAGCTAAAAAAAAAAAGATTATTATTTATCATTATAAAGATATTATCTTGTTAAATAATACTATTAGCTAAAGAATTTGAGCTAATTTAAGGAAGTATAATTTCTTATAGACTAGAAAGGAAGCAAAAATGTTAGTGCTAAGCTATTGAATTATTTAAATTTGAAAGCCTAGTACGTAACAATTATGCTATTTGATCAGTAGATAAAGAGAGAGAGAGAGAGAGAGAGAGAGAGAGAGAGAGAGAGGGAGAGAAAGGGAGAGAGAAAGGTAAAGAAAAGGTTATATTATTAAATAATTATTAAAATATTACAATGATTAGTAAAAACAAAAGACACATAATTATTCATATTCAAATGTCAATGAAAAAAAAAAGAATAAAAATGATAATAAAATAAAATAAAATTTATAAAATACAAAAAAAAAAAAAAAAGATTAAAAGTTGTTAACTAAAATAAATATTAAATATATTTAATATTTTCTCATTTTTAACATTATACTTCTTTTTTACAATGTAATATTTTTTTTTCTTTATAATATTTCATTTTTTCATTGATTTTTTTTTTTTGCAATATTCAAATTTTTTTTTTTAATTATTTCTTTTTTTGTTTAATCAAATGAAAATTAATTTTTATAAAATATTTAGAAAGAAGTAAAAATGTTTGATTATCGTGTACCATTACAATGGATTACATATGTATCAATTGATGGTGATGCTATTATTGATCAGGTACAATGGGGTGGCAAATATTATGTTAGTTTTAAAATTCACTTATTTTTTTTTTGAAATTTAATTAAATATTAAAAATGCATGTTTGATTTAATTAATTGTTTGATTAAAAAATTTATTAATAATATTAAAAAAAAAAAATTATGAATTATGCGAAAATAGTTTTGTTTATTTGTAAACATTTTTTTTTTTTTTTTGTATTAATTAATCTATTCATTAAAATTAATTTTTTAATGTAATAATTATTTAAATAAATGAAGTATAATATTTAAGAATGTAATTAATTTAATTTTGCTCTAATTTTTTTCTCATTTGGAAATTTTTTATTATTTTAGCCTGTTCCATATGAATCAGGTATAGTAAATGGTGGCTTATCACCTGGTAAATCATTATATATTACCGGAATACCGGATAAACGTAGCAAACGATTTAATATCAATTTATTGAAACAAAACGGTGATATTATTCTACATTTCAATCCACGATTTGATGAAAAAGTTTGAAAATGAATTTACTTTTTCTCTCTTTCCTTTTTTCCTTATTCGTTTTTCGTTTTTTTTTTTTTTTTTTAATTTTAAATAATTTTTTACCAAAAATATTTTAGAATTTTAGGAAAAAGAAACGAATACTAATATGCATTTTAATGAAATTTAAATGATAATTTTATAATTTTGTATTTAAAAAAAAAAATAATTGAAATTTTCAATTTTTTTCTGCTATAAATAGAAAAAAAGGGGAATGAATTCGAATTATTAGTTAAAAAGACAAAAAAAAAAAAAAAAAGAAAATTAGAATAGCTATAGGTATTAATTAATTAATTAATTATTAGTAAAGTTGAACAATTACTAATTAAATTTTAATTATTACTATTGTTTTTTTTTTTTTTATTTGAAAATGTGAAAAAAAAAAAGAAATGAAATAAAAATTTAGGTAGTTGTACGTAATGCATTAATTGGCGGTGTTTGGGGTAAAGAGGAACGTGAAGGTAAAATTCCATTTGAAAAGGATAAAATGTTTGATTTACAATTTCACAATGAAGAATACGCAATACAAGTAATTTTATTTTTTTTAATAATATTATTTTAAAAATTAAAAAAAAAAAAATAAATAATTTTAATTTTAATAATATTATAAAAAAAATATATGAATTGCATAATTGTATAATTTAATCATTAATGAGATTTATGATTAATAAATAATTCCCTGAAGTATTTGAAAGAGAAAGGGAAAGAGGGATAGAGAGAGAGAGAGAGAGAGAGAGAGAGAGAGATTTAAGAAGGTATTGAAAGAATGATTGTTTGAATAAATGGATTATTTTTTTAAATTTCATCAATATTATCTCTAAAAATTTTATTGCTAATATTTGATTAAAAAATAAAATTTAATATTGAATTTTTGTCTTTTTTTAAAATGATTTTTCTTCTTTTTGTCCACTTTTTTTGATCATATTTCTCTTTTTTTTAAAAAAAAATCTTTTTTTTTATTTTTTGATCTAATAATAAATAGATATTGGTAAATGGTGAACGATTTGTGACATTTGCGCATCGATCACAGGCAAATGATATAGTTGGTGTTCAGATACAAGGTGATGTGGAAATCAATGGAATTCAAATACAATAATTGAATTAAATATTGATAATTTGAATAATTTTAAAGCTAAAAATTTATATCAGATATCAGTTACCTGTTCATATCTTTTTTTTTTTTTAATACTGTATCATTTATAAATGATCTTCAATTTACTTAATTTTTTTTTCTCATCTTTAATTATTAATTTTCGATTTTATTTCAAATATGATTATTCTCTTTTTTTTTTTGCAAGAAAAAATAATAATTGTGAATGAAATTTCATTGTTAATTATAAATATATGATTGGTGTAAAATTTATGAAATTTACTGATTATGAAGTAAAATATTAATTATTAAAAAGGAATGGATGCTACCAAGAAAAGTTCAAATGTCAATTATTAGAATGGTAAAAATTGACAGTTGTAAATTTAAAACAGTACAAAAATTAATTTATTTAGTTTGTTTAAAAAAAAAAAAAAAGAGGGGAAAGAGAGAAAAAAATTGTCATTGCATAACTGTTACAATTTAATTAGCATATTTCAAAAAATTTCAGCATTTCGCTGCGCAAATAATTCCTTTTTTACATTTAATAAAAAGTAAAAAATATATAAAAAATTATGTATAAGTGAGGCGTTATTTCATGACTATTATTTAATAACACAATTTACTGAAACATATTTAAGTAATTTTTTTTTTCTCCAAAAAAAATTAAAAGAAAAAATAAACCAAATAATCATTTTATGGGGAAAAAAAAAAAAAAGAAAAATTTTGAAATATTTCTTCTTTTTGGATAAAAATACTATAAAAATTATTTTTTTACTCTCTTTTTTTTTCAAAAAAAAAGCATAATTTCATAAAATGCATACAACATTTATTTATTTCCTTTTTTTTGTTATCAAACATTTTATACAACATTTATGCATATTAATTAGTAATAAATGAGCAAAATGCAAAAAGAAAAAAGCATATAATAGATGGATAATTCAAGAAAAAATAAAAAATTCATTAAGCGATACTGATAGATAGCAGCGAGATCATTGTTTTATTATCAGACATCAGTTATCAATTAATGATAAAAAGAAAGAGGAAAAGAAAAGAAAACAATAATAACCCATAATTAGCATAATATTTTGTGCAATAAAATAAAGGCTTTCATTTAATTTTTTTTTTTTTTTTAATATAAAATATTTAATGTATGATTTTTTTATTTAAAAAAAAAAATCGGAAAAATATATTTTAATAAATTTATTAAAATTAATTTACAAGAGTGAATTTAGATAAAACAAAAGTAACATCGTTTTTTTTCTTGTTTTCCTATTATTTTTTTTTCGTATTTCATGAAAAAAAAATTGTAAATTAAAAAAAAAAAATTATATAATTAACAAAAAAAAAAAGGAAAAACAAAAAAAATGATTGCTTTCAATCATTTTCAATTATTTCATTTCCATTTAAAATATCTAAGACAAACAATAAATACAATAACTGATAATTTAGTAAATAATCTTTTCTTTTCATGAAATATGATAAAGTTTTAGTAATATTTTTGAAAATTAGTTTTTAAAAAAAAATTTTTTTGATTCAAAAATATTTTTTGCTATTTATACTATTTATTATTATTTTTTTTACTATTTGCTTTTTAACATGAAATAATAAAAAGATAATATGGAAAGTTATAACATAAAATTTCATTTTCCACTATATCATCGATTCCAATTTTGTAAACACTTTGAAGCATTCATTATAATCTGAAATAGAATTATGATTTTAAAAAAAAGTTATAATAAATAATTAATTGTTAATTGATAGCACAAATTTGAATCAAATTGACTAATGAATATTGGAAGTGGGGCCAAAAATTAAAATAAATTTGAAATTTTCGAAAAAAAAAACACGGAAAAGATAAAAATGATGCCAAGGTATTATTAGCTGATAATTATTAATATTGGTTGTGTTGTAGAAATTTTTTTTATATTTTTTCAAAAATTTCATATTTTAAAGCAAAACTATTGGATCCAAATAATTTTGTTTACGCTACAACAAGCTAAACACTTATCAGCATTTTTTATATCTAAAAATTTTCTCTGTATTTGAAATATAATATATAAACAATGCAAAATGAATTAATGAAATAATTCAAGTAAAATTAAGAATTAAAAAAATGAAAAATTTTTATTGTTAAATTTTAGTAATGCTAACTAACCATTAATAATTTTTTTTCTTGACACTATGCGCTTGTCATCATTCGTACAAATTCTTCATAATTGATCTATAAATTATATGAAAACATTTATCATTAATTATTGATAAAATTTTAAAAACAACAACAAAAAAAGAACTTTAAAAATGGAATTAACCTATTGAAAGCTAATGTTAAAACTAAAAAAATAACTATTTGAGAATAATCAAATTAAAAATGGCCAAACAAATTCACTGCAATAGTTTTATTTAGTACACACACAAAAAAAAAAAAAAAAAAAAAAAAAAAACATGAATATAAAATTTGTAAATGAATTTAATTCATTTCATACATTATCATTATATTTCTTTTGAAAATTTTGGAATTACATTTTTTTTTTTTTTGGAATAAAATTTAGATCTATTTCATTTTTTTAAAGTAAATCTTACCTGTCCATCACCATCAATATCAACTTCAGCAATCATTTCATCTACTTCTTCATCACTAAATTGTTCACCCATATGAGTCATAAAGTATCGAAATTCTTCAGCCGTAATATATCCATTACCATCACGATCGAATACTCGAAATGCTTCACGTATCATTTCACTATCATTATCCTATCAATAATCAATTTAGTTATGAAATGATAAGATTCAACAAGAACAGATGACATACCATCAAACATTAAAATTTTCATCTAATTAATCTTAATCTTATGAAAAAAAATTGTATTCATCTAATGAATCATTTTGTTATAGGAGAATAAGATTGATTCACCTAAAAAAAAAAAAAAAAAAAAAAGGAGATTTAGAAAAGAAAAAAAATTGCTTTTGCTTTTGAAACTACTCTTGAAAGGATGATTAACAAAGAAAAAAGTGAAATGACATTCTGATAGAACAATTTAGATAATATCAATTTAAAACAAAATATTTCAATTAATGAAAAATATGAAATTAGATTCACAAAGTTTTGCGTAATCATAAAAAAATGGGGAAATTCAAAAAATATTTGAAAAAAATGACAATAATGATTAATTTCAACATAATAATAACTAATTGAAACATATAAAGAGAAGAAGAAAAGAAATAAATATAACAAATTAAATGAGAAAAGAAATGAATGTTTTATTGAAGAATTATAAATCTGAATTAGATAACTATGATAGTATGGTTTAATCACGTTGAGAATTCAATCAATTCAACGTATAAATCCATAATTTATTCACAGCGATTTTCCTTAATGCCTACAGTTAAACTATAATACTATCAATGTTTAACTTTATTTACAAATATTTCACTTCAATATTGATAAATATTTCAAACCGTGAAATATGTAACAATGATAGTACGGTTTGTTCACGATGATAAACCAATCGATTTAAACCATCAATTCATCTAATAGTTTTTTTCTTCTTTTTCAATTTATGTTTATTTTGGTTTCGTTCTCTTTTTTTTTTTCTTTTTTCATTTTTAAAATATTTAATTTCTTCTAGTATAAATTAAATTACCTTATTCATTCGTTTCATCATTTGACAAAATTCAGGAAATTCAATGCTACCGCTACCATCAAAATCCACCTCATTGATCATATCCAGTAATTCTTGCTCAGTTGGATTTTGACCTAATGTTCTCATTGCTACACCTAATTCTTTTGAAGATATTGAACCATTACCATCCTGAAATTTAATTTTTTTTTCAAATCATTTTTATTTAAATTAATAAAATTTCGAATAAATTAAAATAACTTCTAAAATAATTATTACTTTTACTTCTTTGATTTCGATTATAAAATAAAATAAAAATTATTCAAATTATTTAATTCTATTCAATATATATTTTCTAAATTTCTTTTTTCACTCTCTTTTTTTTTTGTTTTGTTTGTTTTTTTTTTTTTTTTTTTTTTTTTTTTTTTTTTTTTTTTGTTATTCATTAAAATAAAATACAATGAAATAAATGGGATGATATATGTATCAAAAAAGGAAAAAAAATTCTTGAAAAAGGAAGAGAAAGAGAGAGGGAGGGAAAGAGAAAAAGAGAAAATGAAGCAATCTTAAATGTACCATTTCAATTAAATTTTTACTAAACTTCATTTCATCTTTTTTTTCCATTTATGCCATTGAGCAAAATTAAATTTCATTTAATCCCCCCCCTCTCTTTTTCCTTGCCTCCCCTCACTTCCGTCTTATCATTAATCGTATATTTTCTTCTCAATTAATGTTAAATTTCGAATCTTTAAAGAAATTTTTCCAAATTTTCAATTTTTACATTTTGCCATTATGAGCAAAAAATGTAAAAGTTAATTGTTTAAAAAATTCTATCACTTTTTTTTCGATCAAAATAAAATAATATAATAATTCATATAAAAATGATATAATAAAAGTGCATAAATCATCATTAATTTTACTTAATTTTACTTTAAATGACTAATATTCATGCCTAATTTGATTAATTAAATTGAATATTAATCTACTTAGATTGTTTAATTGAATAATCTATAACATATAAAAAAATAAATTTTACAAATTTTACTTTTTTTTTGTCTTTTTAAAATTAATTTCAAATATAATATATCAATATTAAAAATAAAAAATAGTGAAATATATATTTAGTGACAATAACAATATTTTTTTATCATTTACCTTATCAAATAACCTGAATGCTTCACGATATTCAATAGCTTCCTCTTCACTGACACCTTCCAATTGCTCATTATTTGTTTGTTGTTTCCATCTGCTAAATAGTGACATTTTTCGATTGTTTGACATTTTGCGCCTCCTTTTTCGTTATATCACTTATTTGAGTAGTAAAATTTTCTTTTTTATATTGCAAATTCAGTCAATAATTAGTAATAATATTTTGCCAATAATTGAATT